TAAAGCTCTGCAGTGAATTTGTGGCTGATAGAGAATTAGAAATTGCAGCTCTCACAGCTTGCACTCACTTCCCCATTAAATCACTTCTCAAGCCAGCAATGGAGTAGATTTAAAACAAGCAAACAAAAACACCTCATCAGAACTTCCTTTTCACTCCAAAATTTTTATCATGTTGATTTTAGAGCACAGACATTGAGTCAGGGCATCTTAAAGAAAAGGTATGCGAACGAGTGTTTGGTGGCTCAGGAATGGAGCTGGATCTGGAAGCCAGCAGGATCAGAGCCATCTCCAGGGGCGAGTGTCTCCCCACTTCCCTGTAGTGCTCTCTCTTCTTGTACCATTATTTCCCCAGTGACTTTGTACCCACCCCTTCTCTACTTCTGGCTGGCCAACAGGTTCTGCATTCTCTAGTACAGATGCTGGAAGGACATTTTTGGCTCTGCAAACTATTGGTTAGAGCCTTCTGCACCACATGGACGAGCCCTCCTGGGCCGGGGGGTCTCCGTGGTCCAGTTGGTGGCCCTGGTCACAAAGTGCAGCCTTCATGCTTTTCGGTGGGGGTGGTACTGCCTCCTAGGGAGTGTTTTGGAAATGTGTGGGGCCCTTTTTGTCCTCTAGCACATTGGTACCCGAGCATTTACATGTTGAAGTAAGTATTTCATTATGAATTGCTTTTACATTAGATTTAGGTTGTTAGGGTGATCCTTTTCAAAAGGATGTATAAGTGATACCATCTAGGAATCCTGTTTCAGATTAAGATGGCATTACAAGATAGTTTTTAAAAGGTGGGTATGGGGTCTGGTAGTGTTGAGGACCTGTAACTGACATGTCTTCTATATTCTATGAATACATTCATCCCAAAGAATGATCCCATCTTCTCTTCTGTTTCAGATGTTGGCCCCTCACTTTGAAAAACCTATATAGAGTTTTGGGGAGACTCTTCCACCAGAATCTACACTGAAGTAATGAATCTGTGTTCATCCACAATGAATGTAGGACGAAAGTCAGGTATGGAATGTGGGGTGAGCCTCTTTAAGCCACCCTACCGAGCTCAACTGGGGAAGAGTCAGTGTGTGCTAAGTGTGTTCAGGTTCAGTAGAGTTTGGCAGAAAGCACTTGGTAATGACTGTAGGCCGTTTGCCTTTAGCTGTTTCTTGTCAGTGTGGTGGTTATTTACTCCTGATTCCTGCACCGTCATTTAGATCTTTGATACAGTCATTGCTCATGCGTTGTCATGAACTGGGGTTCAAATGGGTGCAATCTGTTGGGCTGGAGAATAGCCCATGAAGCATCTGGTGCAGAATTCAGTCGCTTTGCTAGGTGGCATTCTCACTTCTGCAGTCCCCAGAGCAATCTTGCTCATTTCTGCGTGAGTTTGGGGCAGTGACTCTCTGGAGCAAGGTGCTTCAGTCCCCGAACTGAGACCAGTCTCCCCCTTTTTAATGACCTCTGTCCACGTGCACCAGCGGACAACTACACACCCCAGGTTCTCATCCACATGATAAGTGTTATTACTCTCTTCCACTCCTGACCCCAGCTGATCTGGCGTGTCGCCAGTCAGGAGTATCTCATCTTCCCACGGATGCCACAGATGGACCCTTTGGGCATCTTTGTTTTTCCCACATCTAGCCACAGAGCAGAGTTTAAATGGCAACGTCTACCCCACGAACACCTGGTCGAGGTTCTACTTAGGTGTCCCACAGCTTCCTTCCGGTTGGTCTGTGGTTCAAAAAAACCCGACTGTTCTCTAAGCCCCATGCTACCGTGTGTCCCCTACCCTGTGTCCCCTCTGCCCCCTGCAGGGTGGCGTCCCCACTGCACCCACATCTGAAGTGCATTCATCACCCTGAAAAGCCTGGGAGGAGGAAGTGGGGGCCCAGGATATGCAAGTCCTTGGATCAGGTTCCAGCATTTCTTCTGTGCCTTTCTGTGCCTGATGGACGCAGGTGGGAACATCTGCCGTGTCCAGACCACGGTGCGCTCGGCACCAGGCAAACATCATTTCACTCCTCCATCGTGCAACCCTGCTGGCCAAGTTAGTGTCTCATTGACAGAGAAGGAAACAAATTCAGCGAAGCTCGGTGACTTACAGAAGGTTGCTTAGCTTCACCTGGGAGTGTCTCTGACTGTTACATCTTTGCCTGGCTTCGTGCAGGTGCAGTTTCTGGGTCCTGGCTCTGCTTCCTGCTGGTCTTCCCTCTGGTGCCCAGCACCTCTGGACTCCTCCCCGACAAGCCTTCCTCCAGCCTGGCTTGTGGGCGCTCATCCACTCGTTCTGTGCAGGTGAGGGAATGTGGACGAGCCACCTTCAGGACAGCGGCATCATACAAGGCCTCCAGGTGCCGGTGGTCTGCAGACGTCCATACGTCAGGCTGGACAAGGCAGACGTATGGCTTTAAGTGGAGGGGAGGTTGGTAGTCGGTACTTTATTTGAAGCTACTCACGTGTGAGAGGGGAGTGTCATGGCTTGAATTATGTCTCCCCCAAAAGACATGTTGGGGTCCAAGCCCCTAGTACCTGCGGACGTGACTTTCTTCAGAAGTGGGTTGTTGCAGGTGTATCAGACGAGGTCTCTGCAGTAGGCAGACCCCTAAATCCAATATGGCTCCTGTCCTTATAGGAAGACGACCATGTGGAGGGAGACAGGCCCAGGGAGGACGCCCTGTGAGGATGAAGGGAGGCATTAGTGGCACATCAGTAAGCCAAGGAGCGACAAAGTCTGCCGGCAGCCCCCAGGCCGGCGGAGGCGAGGAAGGACCCTCCCTCCCTTGCGGGTTTCAGAGCACGCGCAGCCCTGCCGACACCTCCGTTTTGGACTTTTGGCCCCAAAACTGTGAAAGAATACGCTTCTGTGGTTTTAAGGCACCCGGCTTGTGGTCTTTTGTCCCGGCAGCCCCAGGAACCTGATTCGGGGAGGAAACGGGGACGCTGTTCGGGAGGAGCTGAGTGGCCCCCAGTTCCCCACGTGACGCGCTTGTGGAGCTTGGCCTCGTGGCATGTCCAGGTTTTAAACACACAAACAAAGAAGGGTTAAGGTAAAGTCGTCAATTAAATAAAAGGAGCTGTAAGGAGCGTTTTGTTTGGTTTGAAAGGCTGTAAAATGAGCTGAGATGTGTTTTTGTTTGTTCATGATAAGAATGAACCCAGTGTTCCTGTAACGTGAGCAGAGAGAGCGACTTATAGAGAGCCGTGCTGTGGCCGCCCCGTGGGGGCCTGGCGAGGACTTGGCGGCTCCCTCCCACAGCGCTGAGAAGAGGGCTTTGGTTCTCCTGCAGCAAACACACTCCAGCTCGCAGCGCCCGCCCGTCAGGCCACCTTCTTTCCGCTGAACCTGTGTCGTGATCCCTGGAGGTGTTTCCCGTAGACGTGCCTCTTCCTTTGGAGTTTGTCACCTGCTAATTGGCACCCAGGAGCGCACCCTGTCCCTCCTACTTCTTATCAGCACATCACCCACGAGGTCTGCCACTCACTGGGTCAGGGAATAATCTCTCCGGAGCTAAACACTCTTCATGTATTAAGAGCTGATCTAACAATCAGCTACGTCCCGGATGTGGGAAATTCTGTAAGAGCCCACTTTCTTCAACAAGTAAACGAGATTAAAAACGAGAGGGGATCTTCTAGGGGTGGAAATGCTCTTAGGGGGTCTACCCAGCAAGTGCAACGTGTGGGCGCTGTTTGTTTAGATCTTAATTTAAAGTGTGAAAAGATGTTTTTGAGGTAATTGCAGGAAGTTAAGCATGGACTGGGTACTATTAGATGATCTTAGGTAATTAGGGTATTGCTTTCAGTTTTGTTGGAGATGATACTAGTATTGTCATTAGCTGTTAGAGATGCATATTGAAGTATGTTTACAATTTGCTTTAAAATTTTCTTGCCAAAAATTATGGGGGAGCTGGGGGTGGGTGGATGAGCTAAGAATGGTGGGTGAGGCCACACGGGTTCTTTTACGATTGTGTGCATCTGAAATTATTCATAACGTGCTGTTGTAGAAAGGGCACATGAGCCAGCGCTGCCCCAGATTTGTGCTCAGGCGTCCTTGAATTCCCGCCGTCAGCTCCGTGGCTGATGAGGAATCCAAGTAGCGCCCTGTGATATCCACGAGTGCCCCAGAAAGTGCGCTGTTCCACATCCCAGTTCAGATAACCTCATGGCTTGTTGTCCAAAGCCACAGGAGGGACCGAAGTTCACACGAGCAGTGCCCAGGCTCGGGTCTGAAAGCGCAGTCCTGGGGTTCTCAGTCCTGGCGGCTCCCGCTCAGAGCTGTGCCCTTTTGCACAGTGAACCCAATCCTTTATCATAGTGTCTTTACTGATTTTCTTCTCTTAGCCTGAACTCTAGGACTCCTCGTTCCTGAGAGAGAACATAGAGCTGTGTTTTATAATGTGGGTCTTGATAAAAGCTGGCCCTTGGAAAGGTCTCCCCTGTGATAGAAATGCACTCATTTGTCCAGTCATTCAAGACATCGTGGAGTGCTGTGTCCGCTGACAGGCCTAGAAGCACGTATACGTCAGGGTCAGCAAGCACACTTGTGCCCAGACCTTGGTGTCAAGTACTTTCCCCACCAAAAGGAGCCGGGGTCCTCAGACTGATGGTGATTTCAGGGCTGGGACAGCATAGGTCCATGAGCATGGGATACCTTGTGCCGCAAAATAAAGAGTGATTTAGGAGGAAAAAAAAAGAAAGTGATGGGGTGTGTAGGAAGGACAAGGAGCCAGCTTGATGGGACTCTCTTTGGCCAAATCTGGCCTGATTTCAGCAGCCAAACAAGTACAGTAAGACTTACAAACCATTGGAGAAAATAGGGGTCCCCGAGTCCGTAACAACAGTTAAAGGATGAGTAAGAGGGAGAGAAAGGAGGGCTCTGTGACAGCAACACCCAGTGCTGGCTGGCCACGTGCGGGGAGTGAGGGGGTTGGGAAACCACTGGCAGTCATCACAGCGAGGGCCGATTCGGGCGAGAATCGCTGATGGATGCTGGGTCTAAGGGGAATGCTGCATGAGGATCGGCGTATGTGCATGGCCTCCTTGTGCGCCGCGGTAGCCTGCATCCTCGTGCAGGGGACGCAGCCGTAACCCTGTGGGGGAGAAACTGGTAACACCTTGCTGAGTGTCACCAGTGAGGGGCTGATGGGCCCCTCGTATCTCCAGGCAGGACGCCCTGAGAAGGACACTGTGTCGCTTCTGTGGTTTACTGGCCAGAGGTGCATCCAACCCGAAATGAGGGCAATTCCATTAAAAGGGGGGAGGAAGTTCTTCAGAAGCACGAGATCATGACAGATAAAGGAAAGCTATAGGAATGTTCCAGAGCAGAGGTAGCCTACGAGACAAGCCGAATGGATGCAGTACCAGATCCTGGGTGACAGGCTGTGCTGGATGGAGGAAAAGGGCGGCAGCGGGTCGGCGGGCAGCCTCGGAACGCAGGTGGTGCCCGCGCTGCGCGTGGTGCAGGCGGGGCTGGGTGTTTCTCGCCAGCTGCAGTGCGTGCTGGGAGTCCTGGCTGTGCCGTGGGGCTGCGCCGGTTCACCGTGTCTGCTGCACGTGTGTCTCCAGGAGCTGCCCGTCGGGGACCAGGACACCCCTGCCCCCATGCTCATTACTTCTGCCCCTCCTCGTGTCTCTGTTCTTCTCAGCCGAGCCCAGGCCAGGTCTCCTGTTTCCCTGAGGTGCCAAACAGTGCGAACTGCTCATAGTTAGTTACTGAGTAGGTGGGCTGCCGGTTGGTGAGCTGAAAGGTATGTTTCCTAACACATTTGACGTGGTTTCAGCGAGTTTTGTTTTGTACTAGTGGGCCTCTTGTTTGGTGTCTTGGGTTCTCAGTATATTTCTTTCTGAATTGGCATTTCTCTGACAGAAGTGTGTATAATTGGACTGCATGGTTTTCATTAATGGCAGTGTCATCCCTGGACCATGCTACAGCACACCTCACTTGGGGCAGCCAGATCCGTCCAGGGAAGCTCGGACCCTGTGAGTTCTGGA